GGGAGACCAGGATATGTACCTGGCTCTTGCCTTCGGATCAGTGTGGTGCGCCGGCCGCAGCGCACCAGCCGCGTCAGCCATTGGAGGGTGAACCAACGTCAAAAGGAAGACCTTTCTCTCTGTCTCTCTCTCTCACTGTCCACTCTGCCTGCCAAAAAATAAAAAATAAAATAAAATAAAATAAAGAAATATAACAAAGATTAGAAAAGAAAGATATGAAAAAAGTAATTTAAAAACAATAGAGAAAAAGCAACAAAACTAAAGTTTGTTCTTTAAAAAGATGAACTGTAGCAACTGTTCAGTCTCATGGTTAAAGATCCACATCCCACATTCGATGTCTGGATTTGATTCTTGGTAATAGCTTAAATGACTGGATTTTTGCCTGCCAGGTAGGTGACCTACAATGCATTCCTCAATCCTGGCTCTAGCCCCAGAATTTATGGACATCTAAAGAGTGAACAGGCAGGTGAGAGCATTCTGTCTGTTTGCTTGTTTCTGTGCCTCTCAAAACAATAAATAAGAATCAATAACATTGACAAATATTTCAGTAGACTGCCCAAGAAGAGAGATCAATATTACTAAAATCAAGATTTAAGAAGGAGATATTATTATAAACCTTGTAACGAGCAGATTATCAGTGAATAATATTGTTAAGGTAGGCATGTTCTCCAAACTACAAATTCAATGTAATCTCTACCAAAATCCCAACTGCCTTTTTGCAGAAACTGACAAGTTGATCTCAAATTCACACTGAATAATGCCAAAATAATCTTGAAAAACAATACAGCTTCATTTTTAAAGCTTACTACATACTTAAGAGGTATTAGGAATTTGTCATTCTCAAATAGCAGATAAGACACACAGACCAATGGAATAGAATTAGAAATCTAAAATAAACACATATATCTAAAATCAACTGATTTTTCTCAAGAGTGCCAACATAATACAGTGAAGAAATAATTTTCTTTGATGCAGACCCTGCTATGATAACTGGCTATCCATATGCCCCCCAAAATGACTTTGGAGTGCTATCTCATATACAAAATTAACTCAAAATCAATCAAAGAACTAATTTAACAGCTTTTAATTATAAACCTCTTTGAAGAAAATGTATATATAAGAACTGAATTAGAACACAAATTCTAGATATTGTGATTCCTAAAGTGTAAGCAATAAAATAATATATAAATTGGGCTTCACCAAAATTATACAGCGCTATGTATCAAAGAACATTATCAATAAAATTAAAAGACAGTATATATAATGGGAAGAAATATTCATGAGGCAAACACTGATAAGGGTCTTATAGCCAAAATGTTTAAAAAAACTCTTAATACCTAACAATAAAATGGCAATTTTAAAATTGAGAAAATGGTATGAATAGATATTTCTCTACGGATGACATACAAATGGCCAGTAAACACCAAAGCATGCTCAAAAGTATTAGCAAAATGCAAATCAAAACCATAGTGAGATACTAAGTTAGATAGCAGTAATCTGAAGTGCACATCACGCTTGCAGGGGAAGATGTAGTGAAACCTGAGCTCTCATACATTGCTAGTCATAAAATGGTGCAGGAGCTTTGACAGCTCTCCTAAAGTTTCAAGAAAAAAATTATCAGATGATTCAGAAATTCCACTCCTTGGTATATACTCAAAAGAAATGAAAACATATATCCACAGAAGAACTTCTATACAAATGTTTACAGTATATTACTCAGGATAGCCAAAAAGTGAAAACAGTACAAAATAGGGTGTGTGTATGTATGTGTGTAAATATATATATACATATATATATATATAAAATGGAATATTATGCAGTAACAAAAAGTAAGCAGAGGATATATATGTGGATGAATCTTGAAAATATTACATTAAGTGGAACAAGCCTGTCACAAAAGCCCACAAATTCAGTGATTCAATTTGTAAGAAATATTTAGGTTAGGTAAATCCATATAGACATAAAGTAGATTAGCAATTGTCAGGTGACCAGAAGTGGGTGGGATAGGAAGAAAATGCTAATAGGTTTCTTCTTGAGATGATGAAAATAGCATGGTATTAATGGTGGTGATTGTTACACAACTTTAGGACTAGACTAAAAATCACTGAATTGTACTATTGAAAAGGATAGATTTTATAGTATGTGAATTGCTTTCACAATTTAAGGACTTCTTTAGAAATTTAAAATACATAAATCTTTTCCAATCTAGGTATGCTATTAATTTTTAGATACAAAAATTTTTTATTAAAACTTTGGCCTTTTCTGTGAAGGAACACATCTAAATCAAATCTAGGTACTGACATTCAAGATATTGAATGCATTACTGACAACATGGTGACAGAAGGTCATTAAGGAACAGGAGAAATAGAAAGATCAGGAGAAATAATTTAAATACTAGTTCATATTATGATGTGAGCAACTCTACCATTTGGCAATAAAGTATTTATAAAATCAAGTTGTTTCCACCCCGTAAAATTTTTGGTTTTTGTTTTGAAAATAGCCAGGACCGAAAGGGAATGATTAAATGTTAGCCTTAAAAATTCTTAAAATCTCATGGTCTCCCCGAAAGACTTATAAAAAAATTTAAGTCTGACGGCGCCGTGGCTCCACTAGGGTTATTCCCTCCCCCTGCGGCGCCAGCACACCGGGTTCTAGTCCCGGTCGGGGCGCCGGATTCTGTCCCGGTTGCCCCTCTTTCAGGCCAGTTCTCTGTTATGGCCAGGGAAGTGCAGTGGAGGGTGGCCCAAGTCCTTGGGCCCTGCACCCCATGGGAGACCAGGATAAGCACCTGGCTTCTGCCTTCAGATAGGCGTGGTGCACCGGCCACTGCGTGCCGGCCACAGCGGCCATTGGAGGGTGAACCAACGGCAAAAGGAAGACCTTTCTCTCTGTCTCTCTCACTGTCCACTCTGCCTGTCCAAAAAAAAAAAAAAAAAAAAATTAAGTCTGACAATATTAAGTATTGGCAAAGATGTAAGGAAACTCACTCTAGCACTCTTGCAATAAGAGTAAAAACTGGTAGAATTAATTTGGAGAGCAATTTGGCAAACAATAAAAATTTAATGTAGAACTCATATCCTCCAATAATTCTGTATCTGTAATAGGTGAGATGTGAAATGGCTAAAATTTAGTAATTTTGCGGTAGCTTCACTTGTTGGCTTAGGGAAGAATGCATTTTAGAATAACAACTCATTTTATCATCTGTACCAGTCTCTGTAAAATGTCCATGAATTCCACAGTAACTCAAGTGTTTCTTATACCTCCTAATGTTTACAATACAAGTAGTTGCAATCTCTGCTAAATGCACGTATTTCTTATTTGGTAAACCAAATATGGTTCCTTAAGGGTTGAAAGAAAGGGAGCAAGAATTTGATGCTAAGAAGGAAGGGAAAAAAATTTCATACAGATTTTTAGTTGAATTCCTAGTGTACCAATTTACTGTTTTTTTTATACTATATATACATTAAGGAATTCCAAAATATGTGATTTGCCCACTATTTTGAATTATTTCTCAGTGGAAAAACATGCTGCCTGTTTCTGTAATAACTGTGGCCTTCTTATACAATTTCAACCTGAGAGTTTCATAATTTACCTTTTACTAGTCATGATATGCCAGTGGCCTGATATATTATTTAAGAAAAAAAAATTAGAGCTCAAATGTTTTTGATGTAGTAATAAGGTAGATATATTAAGGCTAAGATTTTTTTCCCTTTGTTCTTTGAAGATTTTTTTCACTTCACATTGCTTTTTTACCAAAACAAACAAAAATCCCTTAGGAATACAGATAGTCCATAATTCCATGGTATGATATAAAATGTAAGATTATTTAACTAGAGAAGGAAGGAGTAAAGAAGGATAGTAGAAAGAAGAAATACATGAAAAGAGACAGAGACAAAGAACTCAGAGATGATAGTGAAGGAAGAGAAAGTTTCAGCCAGTAAAAAAAGAATAGGTTCACCAAATCCTCTCAGGAAATCTGGTTCGCGTATGGTGGCTGTGGTATTAGTGAGTGTTTGCAAATTCTACCATACAGCGCATTTGCACCTGGTGTGACACTCCTAAATTCCCAAAGGCCAAATCTGTGAAATACCCAAACTTTCAGGGTAGTTTTGATTTTAGATAAGGTTGGGATACAAGGGTACTCTTGGGACTACGATTCTTACTAGTAACTATTGTAACATTAACCCATTCCAATGAAAACATGGCTAAGTACTATTTGAATCACAGCAAAAGATACTAGAATTAGATAATTTGGGGGTAATTTAAAATTATCTGCGATAGTAACTTCAAAGTTATTTTCTAATACAATGAAGTGAATTTTTTTGTGTGTGAAAAAAAAACAGAGTTCCAAAAAAATTGTTCCTTATACAAGCAAATACTTTTAAGAATGGCAATTTAAGGAATAATATTACCTTCTTCATTTGCTTTAAGGTTAATCTATGATAACCAGAAGTAAGGAATAATATGTCTAAAAATTATTGCATAAAACTCAATTCACTTCAATAAAAGCATGTTTGATAGAAAAACATCAATTAGGACACACTAAGGTAGATATATATATTAACATTTTCATATTTCCCACTCCTATTTACAGATAGTTAACTGAGAAATGTACTAGTTAAATAATGTAATTTACAATCACAAGGACAAAGTTTTAGACATGGTCAAATGGGAGTACTAAATGCATTTATGGAGCCTGATTTTCAAACTAGGACACACCACAATGTAGAACATAGAAAAATGCTAAAAATAAGAGAGAAACTAATTGGAAAAAGAATGCTAGAAAAATCTGTTTGTCTTTTAAATGTACTGTTTTTCTTCTTTCATGTAGGCTGTCCCTTAATTAAGAAATCTAATAATAAGCAAATTATCTGTTAACAGTGTCTGGAATTATTTTTTAAGATATATATAATACAAATATGAACTAAACAATATATGTAAGAAAAATATTTACTTTTATAATATGTTCCATTATAATTCAATCTTAAAGCTTTCTTTACCTTTATTGTCTGTCTGCTCGTCTGAAATCGTTGATCAGATACTTGCTGCTGATGAAGGAGTTTGTCGTTCACTTCCTTATATTCTCTAACAGATAATTCCGCAGTTTTTTTTGCATTCTGAAGTATAGTGTTTTGCTGTTGCAAGGATATAATCCGTTCTCGTAATAAAATAAGATTGCTACTTGATTTCTGGGCAGTTATACTTCTGTACTTTTCTCTGGTGACTATATAAAAATAATGTTGTAGATGACATTTTAAAAATCTGCTTAAATTCAAAAAGACTTTTTGTTAATTTCATATCAATTCTTACCTCTAGTAGGAATTGTTGTATATGGGTTCTTTTGCATATTACTACTCTTCTTTTGAGAAGCTGGCTTTTTGGTGTTCTTGTATGAAATCAGAAAAATTGGATTACTATTCAATAATAACGTTAAATGTATTAACATAATAAGTAATGTCTCTTTTAAAATGTGTTTTAAAAGGTCTAAACAAAAAAAAGTCAAAATTGATACCAATAACTCACAAATGAACTTATCATATTTACACTAAGGGTAAAAAAGCTGGCAGAAGATATTGATACAAATTCTACTCAAAATAGAAATTTAACCCAAAAACACTTATAAGTTGGGTGTAAATAGCAATAACTTTCAGAGGTTATAAAATCTTAACGTTTAATTTCTTTTTTTTTTTTTTTTTGACAGGCAGGGTGGACAGTGAGCGAGAGAGAGACAGGGAGAAAGGTCTTCCTTTTGCCGTTGGTTCACCCTCCAATGGCCGCTGCGGCCAGCACACTGCGGCCGGCGCACCGCACTGATCCGAAGCCAGGAGCCAGGTGCTTCTCCTGGTCTCCCATGGGGTGCAGGGCCCAAGCACTTGGGCCATCCTCCACTGCACTCCCGGGCCATAGCAGAGAGCTGGACTGGAAGACAGGCAACCAGGACAGAATCCGGCGCCCCAACCGGGACTAGAACCTGGGATGCTGGCGCCACAGGTGGAGGATTAGCCTATTGAGCTGTGGCACCAGCCTCATATAAGACTTTAAACCTAAAATACATGGTACCAAAGGGATGTTAAGGAACTTAGTCCGATTGTGCTGTTCAGAAGGTGGGCAGGCCAGAAGTCCTTAGGGAGGTCTGTCCTTAGAAGGTAGTTCCTGGAGTCAGTTGGTGATTAACACCTGAGTCATGCCCAGATTTTCTCTCTGCTTCTTGCTTGCCATGTGATCCATCTTCCACAATAGCTCTACGAATGCCATCCACCACCCTCATCAGGGTCGAATCAATGCTGCCTGTCTGATCTACTGTGAACCTCCAGAACCATGAGTCATAAAAAACTTTCATCAACAGCTTATGCCAGGTATTCTGTTGTATTAATAAAAAGCTGAATAACATAACTATCATATAAGATAATTTTTACATGTTTCATGATTTTATTAAGATTCAGTTAGTATTTAAATGTCAGTCACATAAAGAGCAGTGGGGGAAAAAATCCAAAACCATTTCCAACTGAATTACTAACATCAAACACCAGACTTGGTATGAAATTACTGGAACTAAAATAAAAAAGAATTTGGCTTCTCTTTACAGTGCTATTACTGAAACAGGAACTCAGAGAAATATCAAACACTGAAACAAACTCACTTACAGAATCTTCCTAACCATTACAAACATTAAGGAAAATCCTCACAAACCAGAAATGGAAATAAAAGAATCCAAAGAGACAAATAAGTGACCAGCAAAGTGGCAAGTAAAACATAGGTAAATTCATAACTCCTTCTGGTCTTCAAATTCTATTTAAATAGCAACACAAAATTCAGAGAGAAGGAAGGAAAGCCTAGTCCCCAAGACAGTAATGTTGAGGTTACAAAGCTACGCATTGCATCTATCATATAATTTGTTCCTTTTCATCGCTGAGTAGTATTCTGTGGAATAGTATACCACCAATGTATCTGTTCAGCTATTGAAGAAAATTTTGATTGCTCCTGGTTTTCAGATATTATTTATTTCTGTTGGATAATTGTCCATGAGTAAGGATAGACAGGTTGCATGGCAAATTAGCATTCTCAGAAACTGCCACTGTTTCATAGAGTGCTATATTGTACCATTTTATATGCAAATTAGCAATGTATAAGAGACTGGTTTCTCTGTATCCTTGCCAGCAATTGGTATTGATAACATACACTTATGTTAGCTGTTTTAACCTATGTGTAGCTCATCATGGCCTTAATCTGAATTTCTCTTATCAGTAGTGATGCTGAACATCTTAATATTTGCTTATTTCTTATACTTTTTTGATGAAATAGCTGCTCATATCTCTTGGTCATTTTCTAATTATACTGTCTTTTATTATTATGTTTTAAGAGTTCTTTATATATTCAAGATGAAAATCTTTTATCAGATACATGGCTTGTAAATATTCTTCCCAAATTGCGGCTTGTTTTCTCATCCTCTAAATACGGGTTTTCACAGAGAAAATGTTCTCAATTTTGATGATGTCTAATTTATCAATGTGTAATTTTACTGAATCAAACTTTGATATCATGTCTTAATTCTCTTAATCCATCCATAAATCATGAAGAATTTCTCTTATATATCACTACAAAATTTTTCTTTTCTCTTTTTTTTTTTTTTTTTTTTGACAGGCAGGGTGGACAGTGAGAGAGAGAGACAGCGAGAAAGGTCTTCCTTTGCCGTTGGTTCACCCTCCAATGGCCGCCACGGCCAGTGAGCTGCAGCCTGCGCACCACGCTGATCCGATAGCAGGAGCCAGGTGCTTTTCCTGGTCTCCCATGGGGTGCAGGGCCCAAGGACTTGGGCCGTCCTCCACTGCACTGCCTGGCCACAGCAGAGAGCTGGCCTGGAAGAGGGGCAACCAGGACAGAATCCGGCACCCCGACCGGGACTAGAACCCGGTGTGCCGGTGCTGCAAGGCGGAGGATTAGCCTAGTGAGCCGCAGCGCCGGCCAGGTGTAGATTCCTTTCATTTCATTTATTTATTTTTCTACACTTGATCTTAGCCAAAAGGCAGAGAAGCGATCATTTACTTATTTTTCTTAGAGGCTCACAATTACTGTAGCAACATCTGTTGAAAAGACCATATTTCCTTTAATTAATTGCTTTTTTGTTGTTGTTAGATTGATTTTATTTATTTGAAGAGCAGAGTTACACAGAGAGGGAGAAACAAAGAGAAGTCTTGGGGCTGGCACTGTGGCATAGGAGCTAACACTGCCGCCTGCAGTGCTGGTATCCCCTATGGGCACCATTTCAAGTCCATGATGCTCCACTTCTGATCCAGCTCTCTGCTATGGCCTGGGAAAACAGTAGGAGATGGCCCAAGTCCTTGGGCCCCTGTACCTGGGTGGGAAGACCTGGAGGAGGAGGCTCCTGGCTCCTGGCTTTGGATAGGTGCAGCTCTGGCTGCTGAGGCCAACTGAGGAGTGAACCACCGGATGAAAGACCTCTCTCTGTGTAACTCTTTCAAATAGATGAATAAATCTTTTTAAAAAAATAACAGAAAGAGAGGTCTTCCAATGGTTCACTCCATAAATGCCCACAACGGCCAAATCTGCTCCAGGCAGAAGCCAGGAGTCCACAGCTTCTTCCGGTCTCCTTTGTGAGTGCAAGGGCCCAAGCACACAGGCAATCCTCTGCTGTTTAACCAGTTGCATTAGCAGGGAGCTGGATCAGAACTGGAGCAGCCAGGACACAAACTGGGGCCCATATGGGGTGCCGGTGCTGCAGGAGGCAGCTTAACTTGCTATGCCAAAAGGCTGGTACCATGAAATGCTTTTACACTTTTGTCAAAAATCAGTTGTTGATAATTCCATAGATATATTTTTGGATGATCAATGCCGTTTTGTGAATAATAAAGCTTTCCTTCTCTCTTGTTATCAGTCTTGACATCCAAACCAATTTTGGGTGATAAGTATTATTGTCAACATCTGTGAGGTAAACATAAAACTGTTACTTTGTTTTTCAAATTAAAATTGACATTTGGATTTTTTTATATTTACTATTTCTGTGCTGAGATTTTCTATGTCTTTGTTGAGATGTTCTATTTTTTTTTTTCATTTGTGTTAAGCTTGACCATATTGCTATTGAAACATTTTTATGACAGGTGCTTTAAAATGCTACACATATGTGGTATAGCAGGTAAAGCTACTGCCTGCCATGCCGACATCTCATATGGGTGCCAGTTCGAGTCCTTACTGCTCCACTTCCAGTCCAGCTCTCTGCTAATGGCCTGTTAATGGAAAAGTGGTAGAGGATGGGCCAAGTGCTTGGGCCTCCGCACTTACATGGGATACCTGAAAGAAGCTCCTGGCTTTAGTCTGGTCCAGCTTCACCCGCTGCAGCCATTTGGGGAATGAAGCAGTGAGTGGAAGATCTCTCTCTCTCTCTCTCTCTCTCTGTAACTCTGTCTTCCAAATAAATAAATATCTCTTTAAGGCCGGCGCCGCGGCTCACTAGGCTAATCCTCCGCCTAGCGGCGCCGGCACACCAGGTTCTAGTCCCGGTCGGGGCGCCGGATTCTGTCCCGGTTGCCCCTCTTCCAGGCCAGCCCTCTGCTGTGGCCAGGGAGTGCAGTGGAAGATGGCCCAGGTGCTTGGGCCCTGCACCCCATGGGAGACCAGGAAAAGCACCTGGCTCCTGGCTCCTGCCATCGGATCAGCGCGGTGCGCCGGCCGCAGCGCGCCGGCCGCGGCGGCCATTGGAGGGTGAACCAACGGCAAAGGAAGGCCTTTCTCTCTGTCTCTCTCTCTCACTGTCCACTCTGCCTGTCAAAAAAAAAATGCTTGCAATATAATTCCAACATCTGTCATCTTGCTGTTGGCTTCTGTTGATTGTCTCTTCTCACTTGAGTGAGAAAAATATCAACTCCATTTGTACAAATAAAAGACAGGAAGAGGCAATTGGCTAAGGAATTCAAAATGGCCAATAGCCACAAAAAAGTAGTCAACACCCTGTTAGTTCTCAATGAAACTTAAAGTAAAGCCCCAGTGATATACCCAAAATATACAAAAAGTGTGAAAAAGACTAACAGATCCTAAAGACTAGTAGAAACTTCTATTGCCTGTTGGTGGGCACTACAAAGTGGTATAATACTTTGGAAAACAGAATTTTCAAGCAAAATCTTAGAGATACATTAGCTATGGTTCAGTAAGTCTATTCATAGGTTCTAAAGTAGAGAAATGCATGCACTTGTGCAACACAGACATGCAGAAAAATGCCCACTGCAGCTTAATTTGCAAGAAGTCCAAACTGATGCAACCCAAATTTCAACAGTAGACTGCATAAACAGTAGTATATTCAGAGAATGAATTTTCACTATATATGCAATCATGAAGATGAATTAACTCTGCCTAGTATTTAAAAAAAGAAATCAAATACAAAAGATACACTGTGTAGATTCTATAAAGTCTACAAACAGGAAAATTAACCAAAATGTTAGGGGAGGTATATTATCAAGAAAAGTAAGAATGATTACACACTGTTCCAGGTGATCAATTTCAGTTCACAGTTGGTCATGGTGGAGGGACTGGGAGTCAAAGGGAGCACATAGACAAGTCTAGTACCTGCTAACGCTAACCGATGGAGTAAATAAAGGGGAGAGTGATCCAACATGGGAAGTGAGATACTCAGCAGACTCATAGAATGGCGGATGTCCTAAATAGCACTCTGGCCTCAGAATCAGCCCTAAAGGCATTCGGAGCTGGCTGAAAAGCTCATGAGAGTATTTCAGGCATGGAAAGCCAAGACACTCTGGCAAAAGATCTCTGCGAGTGAGATCCCAGTGGAAAGAACAGGTCATCAAAGAAGGAGGTACCTTTCTCTGAAGGGAGGAGAGAACCTCCACTTTGACTATGACCTTGTCTAAACAAGATAAGAGTCGGAGAACTCAGAGGGCTTCCATAGCCTTGGAAACTCATGACTGGAGCATAGGGAGATTACTGATGCCATAGACAGGAGTGTCAATTGGTAAAGTCAACAACAGGAGTCACTGTGCACTTACTCCTCATGTAGGATCTCTATCCTTAATGTGCTGTACATTGAGATTTAATGCTATAACGAGTACTCAAACAATATATTTCACTTTGTGTTTCTATGGGGGTGCAAACTGTTGAAATCCTTACTTAATGCATACTAAACTGATCCTCTGTAAAAAAAAAAAAGAAATTATCAATTCCCAACTTGACTCTCACTGGGATTAAACATGACAATAGGTCTGCTCTGTTTTCATCATCATTAAAAAAAAAATCATCTATTATTTTTCACTTTATGTTTCTGTGTGGGAGCAAACTGTTGAAATCCATACTTAATGTATACTAAGCTGATCTTCTGTATATTAAGATAATTGAAAATGAATCTTGATGTGAATGGAAGGGGAGAGGGAGTGGGAAAGGGGAGGGTTGTGGGTGGGAAGGACGGTATGGGGGGGAAGCCATTGTAATCCATAAGTCGTACTTTGGAAATTTATATTCATTAAATAAAAGTTTAAAAAAAAAGTCAACATAATGAATATATTTGAGGTTAGTGAGAGTTTGTAATACTTTCTAAAAACACTTGTTACAATTTGAATTTTATTAACATTTAATTTGTGATTTTCAACAATATGCATAGATCTAATCAAATATCAGTCTTGTTATATGAATGAAGTTATGAGTTATTTGTATTTTAAGACTAATTAAACTAGATATAAATTACTACAGCTAAAGAAATTTCCCTACCAAATAACATTGGGCAGAATAAATGATTTCTACAAAAATCTATTTATCATATTACTGAATTAACAGGCTTTTCGCAAATAATTTTGGTCTGAAATTTACTGTGACTAACAAAAATAGACCTCTGTTCCTTGATTATTTTCTCTGATGGTCTGGCTAGACTTCAAAAATTTAAAAAAAAAATTATTTGGTTTTAAAAGAATCCTATGGTTTACTTCAAAGAAAACCCAATTTTTACCACAAAATAAAATGAGCTTTCTTCAATTTTTCACTGTTTTATGTTGAAAATGTAAATACTTGGGGCCATGATGTATCAGTTTTAAGAATTATTGAGGAGCTGTTGCTGTAGTGTAGGGTTAAAGCCGTCACCTGCAGTGCTCCACTTCCAATCCAGCTCCCTGCTAAAGTGCCTGGAAAACCAGTGGAGGATGGCCCAAGTCTTTGGGACCCTGCACCCACATGGGAGACTCAGAAGAAGCTCCAGGCTCTTGGCTTCAGATCGGCTCTGTTTCTCTACCTTGGCCTCTGCCTCTCTCTGACTCTGCCTTTCAAATAAATAAATAAATAAATCTTTTATTTTTTGAAAAAAGAATTATTGAATAAATTGCATTAGATCATAAATTTTTCAAGATTTAAAAATACAGTGTGTAGTCAGATAGAAACAAGTAATTTAAATTTTAGATTAAATTACTGTATCATCACAAAAGCCAACAAACAAGCAGTTTTTCACTTGGTATATTTCATTTATCTGAAAGTAATAATAACCTAATGGGCACATTTATTTATATATACTGAGGTATAAATATCTTAAATATTTTGTTTATGAGAATAGTGTTTATTTCTATTTTTATGAATGCTAAAAGATTGTATGTAGCAAACTAGTATTTGAATATTACTGGAACATGAATATGTTCATTATATACTTCAAAGACAATTTTTAAGGTCTTAAATCACTATCAACATTTATTGATTAAATCTTAAGATAAAATGAAGAGCATAGCTTACAATTAAGCAGAAAATATTTTTAATACCTTTGTGGTCTTGCAATCCATACTTGAATGTGTTTGTACTATTTCTTTTCCTTGTATTTGTCTATATTTTATTTGGTCAGTTTCCTTCTGGTCTCTTCCATCTTCTATAGGGCTTATTTTCTGAGATGTTTCCACAGTAATTGTTCCCAAACTTTGAGAAGTCTGTGTTTCAGAATCACTGCTTTTGGGGAAACAGAAATGGAGTCACAAACCTAAAAAGAAGAGTTGTTACATACACGCCTTTTTATTTTAACACCAAATAACATTATACCATAGATTTTTATATAGTATTTTATTTAACAAGGGCATTTATTGCTTCTCAATGTTAAAAAGGAAAATTAATTTAAATATATGATTACATTATAAAATATGATAGATTATATAGTATTAAATCTCTACTACCATCAATTCTATAGTATTTTTAAGTATTGACTTGGAAAACACATACTTTGCTCTACTTTCTGAGCCAGACCAGAAAGGCTTGATGTTTCTAATAGAAAGTTTTTCCCTCATAAGGAATAAAATTCAGGTATCTGAAGCTTCATCCACTGATTCCAGTATCATCCCTAAGGCCACTCATTATTCAATAACATACCAAGGGACAAAGCAGTAATGAATAAAATGGGGGGGGATTTCCTGCCTTCATGTTAATTTTATACTAATAAAGGTGCATAAAACAACTAAAGCATACAGTATGTTAATAGTGAAATCCTACAGAGAGGGAAAAAAGCATTTGACAATCTTCATAAATATCTTCAATCAAAAAGCTTACCCAGGTTATGCTACCAAATGAATACTTTTCTTAAGATGTCAGAACTGAAAATCAAGAATCCAGATTAGATTTCAGAATAAAAGAGCTAGGTGCCAATTCCAGAAAAGACCAGAATTTATGAAGGTTTTAGGATCAAGGCAAGGCCACAGCCCAAATCACCTGAAGAACAGGTTCAAAGTAGAAAAGACAGGAGCAACTGTCTGGCTTGCAAGTTAAGCCACCAGTTAGGATGACCACTTCTTATTCCCGCTTTGTGCCACAATTTTTGTTAATTATTTATTTTTATTTATTTATTTTTTTGACAGTCAGAGTGGACAGTGAGAGAGAGAGAGACAGGGAGAAAGGTCTTCCTTTGCCGTTGGTTCACCCTCCAATGGCCGCCGTGGCTGGCGCACTGAGGCTGGTGCACCGCGCACCGTGCTGATCCGAAGGCAGGAGCCAGCTGCTTATCCTGGTCTCCCATGGGGTGCAGGGCCCAAGGACTTGGGCCATCCTCCACTGCACTCCCAGGCCACAGCAGAGAGCTGGCCTGGAAGAGGGGCTACCGGGACAGAATCTGGCGCCCCGACCGGGACTAGAACCCGGTGTGCCGGCGCCGCAATGCGGAGGATTAGCCTAGTGAGCCACGGCACCGGCTGTGCCACAAATTTGATACTCTGTACCCCATCAGACAGTAACTTCCAATTCTCTTTCCCCCAGCCATTGACTTTCTTTCTGAATTAAACTATTCCAAGTACTTCTTGTAAGTAGACTCATAAAATATTTGTCATTTTGTGTCTGGGCTATTTCATATGGCATATGAACCTGAATCTTTCCTTCATCACAGGAAAGATACAAACACCCAACTACAGGAGGCCCTTAGGACTCCCAAATGTACAAAATGTCCTCACCATAGAATATTACAGTCAAATTGTCAAAAAACTAGCACAAGATAGATTTCTAAAACTACAAGAAAAACGCACCAAGTCTCATTAAAATGACAGCAGATTTCTCATTAGGAAACTTTCAGGTCAATAGGTAATGGAATGGAATGTTCCAAGTTGTGAAAAAAAAAAAAAAACTGACAAATAATACTATACCCAGCAAATTTGTCTTTCATGAATTAAGGTGAAATAAATACTCAAAGGCAAGCAAAAAATGAGGGAATTCATTACCTCCACATTACTCTTCTAAAATATCTTCACATAAGTTCTGAAACCAGAATTTTTTTTTAAAAAATGAAAGTATTAAACTTATGAGAAATAGAATAAAAGAAATTGAAACAAACAGAAGTTCTTTTTTTCTATCTTTTTTAAAAAAGATTTTTATTTATTCATTTGAGAGGTAGAGTTATAGATAGGTAGAGGGAGAGACAGAGGGAAAGGTCTTCCTTAGTTGGTTCACCCCCCAAATGGCTGTAAGGGCCGTAGCTGTGCCTATCTGAAGCCAGGAGCCGGGCGCTTCTTCCCGGTCTCCCATGCAGGTGCAGGGGTCCGAGCACTGGGGCCATCTTCTACTGCTTTCCCAGGCCACAGCAGAGAGCTTGATAAGAGGAACAGCTGGGACTAGAACCAGTGCCCTTATGGGATGCCGGAGCCACTAGTGAAAGATTAACCTACCTGCGCCATGATGCCGGCCCCAACAGAAGTTTTAAATACAGGCCTAAATCTTTACTTATCAACAATAACCCTGAGGGAGATAATATTTAGACTAATGCATAAGACATTGATAATATGCCCATATTCCATATTGGAGTACCCAGGTTTGATATCCAGGTCTAGTTCTTGACTGTGGCTTCCTGCTAACATAGACCCTTAGAGGCAGCAATGATGGCTGCAGTAATCAGATTTCTGTCACCCAGTGAGCGACCTGAATAACATTCTCAGCTCTCAGGTTTAAACCTGCATCATGCCTTGGCCCTTGTGGGCACTGAGGGAGTGAACCAGTGAATGAAAGTGTTCTTTCTCTCTCTGTATCTCAAATAATATAAATAAAATTTAAAAATAATAATCTGAGTGCAAACAGACTAAATTCTCCAATTAGAAGATACATAAAAATTGAAAGTCAGAAGGTGTAAAAATATATTCCATGCAAAAGGAAACCACAAGTGAACAGAAATAGCTGTATTTATCTCAGCCAAAATAGGCTTAAAGACAAAAGCTGTAAAAGGATACAAAGAAGATCACAGAGAAGATCACTCACTGAGAGACAGAGAGAGATCTTCCATCTGCTGGTTTGCTCCCAAAATGCTACTCAGGGCTGGGCCAGGACAGGATGGAGAATTCAACCTAGGTTTCCAATGTGAGTAGCGAAGTTCCAACTACTTGAGCCATCATTGTCTGCCTGAAATTGAAAAAGCTGAAATTGAGAATGGAGCTAGGACTTGAACCTAGCACTCCAATTTGGAATGTGGGTTTTCCAAGTGTGATACTAAACATCTACCTTAAATTTTATCAACCTTTTAAGAGCTAACATCAGTGTTCTCGAACTATTGCAAAAGGGAGGGAACCCTTTTAAACTCATTCTGAGGCCAGGATTATCCTGATTCCAAAACTAGACAAGATATGACAAAAATGAAAACATATGCCAAAATCCATTATGGACACAAATATAAAATTTCTCAACAAAATAATGGAAATCTATTTCTACAAAATATTAAAATATCACTCACTATAATTAAGTGGGATTTACCAAAGGAATGCTAGGATGTTTGAGCACACACAGATTAATGAACATAAAACATCACAAGCCACTTCCCATATCAGAGTTTTGGTGAAAGCCTTAGCTACTCCACTTCTGATCCAGCTTTCTGCTAATGCATCTTGGCAGATGGCAGATTATGGCTCAAGTCCTTGGGATCCTGCCACTGATGTGGGAAAACCAGATGAGAGTTCTGAGCTCCTAGCTTTGGTCTGGTCTAGCCCCAACTATTGCAGGCCTTTGGGGAATGAACCAGTGGACAGAAAAAAAACTCTCTCTCTTTTTCTATTTCTCTTTCTGTTTCTCTCTCTTGTTCTTGCTCTCTCTCTTCATATAAGCTGATAAAAATAAATAATAAAAAATTTTAAGATCACATGACCAGAATTAAGACAATAATCATATGATAATCTCAAAATATGCCGGGAAATCATTCAATAAAATACCCATTCATAATTTTAAAAAATTGATCAAAATAGGTACAGAAAGAACAAACTTCACCATAATAAAGAATATATATGACAAACACAAAGTTTGAACAAGGAAAAGTAGCAATCATTTCCTCTAATGCCTAGAAGTAGACAAGAATGTACATTCTCAGCGTTTTTATTTAATATAGTATTAGATGTTTTATCTAGAGCAATTAGTCAGGAAAAAGAAATAACAGGCAAACAAATAGTGAGGAAGAGTTGAAATTATTCCTCTTTGCAGAAGACATGATTCTATGTATAGAAATATTTAAAGACTCCAGCAAAAAACTATTAGAAGTCATAGACAAACTCAGTAAGACTGTAGGAATAAAATCAACATATACAAATCAGTAGCATTTTTAAATCCCATAGCAAACTCTCTAACAAAGAGCAATCCTATTCGTGATAGTTATAAAAATATATTATTCATTGGAATAAATTTTAAAAAGCATGTTAAATATCTCTATAATGAAAAATTACAAAACAGCTATTAAAGAAATTGAACATGATAAAAAATGCCTAGAAAGATTCTCTATGTTCATGGATTAGAACAACTAATATTATTAAAATTTCCATATTACCCAATGATTTACAAAATAAACATAATCCTGTCTGTGTGATTATTCACCAGACTAGAATAAGCAATCCTAAAAGTTATATGGAAACACAATTGATTCCCAATAGCCTAAGAAATCTTGAACAAAAAGAAAAAAGCTGCAGGCATCAAAACACTTGATTTCAGGACATACTACAGAATTATAAGAACCAATAAAGTATGGTTCCAGCTAAAAAGCAGACACATTGACCAATGGAACAAAACAGACACCAGAAATGAACCCACAAATCTACAGTAATATGATTCTGGACAAAACTGCCAAAAACATGCAGTTGAAGCAGGATGGCCTCTTCAATAAATGGTGCTGGGAAAACTGGATATCTGCATACAGATGATTGAAGTTTATTTCCCCTAAATCCAACTCTCACACTAGAAAAATCAACTAAAAATGGAAAGAGCTAAATGAAATATCTGAAGTTGCACCAGTAATGGAAGAAAACATAGGAGAAAGATAAGACCATACACCAAAAGCACAGGCAACAATAGCAAAAACAAACAGCAATATAGCAAACTAAGAAGCTTCTGCAAAGCAAAGGACACGATAAACAAAGTGAAGGTGCATAACCTGCACAATGGGAGAAAACATGTGCAAACCATTAACAGGCCAAAGGATTAATACCTACAATATGTAACAAACTAAAAAATTT